GTTAGCTCTACTCAGAGTAGACACACTACAATTAATGGACATAACCAACTGTAGTGCTGGGGTGAGTTATTTGCCTTTACCTTGCATTCTTTTAAATTGTTTTTTAATTTTAAAAAAATGGTTTTTACCCATATTTTCCAGCATATCATCCTTTTAAACATCATTTCAAAAACTTTGGCTATCACAGCCTAAGCCTTCCTGCAGCCTCAACTGATGGTTTTCTAAAGTCCTTTCTAATTATGCATTTTGTTACTGCAGTTATTGCTGTAAATTCAAATCTTAATACCTATTCTTAATTCTTTTCACAATAATTTATATATTACTCCTTACAAAACTTCTTTTAACCCTGTAGGTGATGTCAATTGGTTACAGTTGCTTTCCGAATATGTCGAAAGCTTCTTCCATTCCTTTAGGAAAGTCTTGTTTTTAATTTTTATCTGTGTTGTTTTAAATGAGACTATCTTGGCTATGAGTCCTGGAAGACCTGCACCCTGCCTTACTGGCCCTTTCCCATCTTGTTCTGGGAGACTGGAGTGCTGACTGACTCCAACTACAAAAGCTGAGGCTGTTGAACAGATTCCTGGGCTGGAGTATTGTTTACGGAGGCACTGAGAAAGCTGTTGCTGTTATTGATATTATTATTGTATCTTTAGTTTTAGATCTTACCATTAGTGTGGAGATTGTTCCCATTAGGTTGTGTACTTTTTGACGTGTTTTATTGTTTATGACTTCTGTTATGTAGATCTTGTCATGTTGTAAGCAGCCTTGAGCATAGTTTCAACTATGGAAAGGCGGCATACAAAGATGATGATGATGATGATGATGATGATTCTATATTCCCAATTCTCATGGAACCCTAGAACTGTAGAGCTGGAAGGACCATCTAGTCCAACCTCCTGCAATGCAGGAATCACAGCTAAAGTATCCCAGGCAGATGGCCAACCAAGCTCTGTTTAGAAGCCTCCAGTGAAGACGACAACTCCAGCTTCTGAAGGAGTCTCTTCCGCTGTTGAACAGCTCTTGCCACCAGAAAGTTCTTCCTAATGTTTAGTCGGAACCTCATTTTTTGTCATTTGAATCCGTTGGCCTGGGTCCCACCCTATGGGGCAACTTAGGATCATAAAGTTCAGTGAATCTAGTCTAAGTAGAACATAATTCCTGTATATACTAGGGTGTGCACCAGTTCTGAGCAGTGTTGGATGTATGTATTGTTGGGATAGTGCCAGAAAGACGATCACCAGTCTCCCTTGGAACAGCATCAATCGCGACATGAGCCTCAGATACGTTTAGAGACCCATGCATGCTCTATCAGTAGAGTGAATAAATCTTCTCACAGCAGAAGAGGCAGACAGAGCCATGTGTAAGCATTATTTTACAGCATTTATTCAGCATAGTTCAGGAACAAAGGAAAACATGTCTGCTTCCCTTCGTCTCCAGCAAAACAGCAAAAAGCTATATACCAACGGAAGTTCCCAGTGAGACTGTGCTGGAAGTAAACAGGCATGTGACACACAACAGTCATGCCTGTTCCCTTTGAAGGTGGAACGGAACTATATCCTAACATGTATAAGCTAAACAAGCTGTAGCTTAGGGCCCCACTCTCTTGGGGGCCCCCCAAAAAACTAAAGGGGAAAAAACTGGATATACATTTCCAAAATATAAGATAAAAAACAAATAAAATAAAGCCTACATACAGCAACAGTGTTTTGTGTTTTGTAGGCTCCTATGATGTAAGCCTGCTAGCCTGCTCCCTAAAATATCACTGGTTTGCTCATTTCTATATATACAGGGTGCCTATATTCTGCATGTGCAAATGGCTTTAGATACCTATTAGGTCCATAAATTACCATATGGCATATATTCAACATGAAAAACAGTGACCATTTGTTGTTGACAAAGGACAGCTGGACATATAAAGGGCCCCATTCCCTTCAGTAGCTTAGGGCCTCATCAAACCTAAATCCGGCCCTGGTTCTGAGAAAGGGCAGAATGAGGAAGCAGATTGGGGTCATTTGTAGGTCTTCTCCAGCTCCCAAATCAAAGCTCAATTTCAATAACCAAATTCAAATTCTCTCTCTCTCTCTCTCTCTCTCTCTCTCACACACACACACACACGCACACACACGTCCCTAAAAAGCCTGGTGTCACTTTGTGGATTCTGCAGTCATCTTTCCCACATAGTTCTATTTTTTCCCCTATGATAGCAATGCTTCTAAATACCAGTTGCTGGAAACCACAGGAGGGAAGAGGGCTCTTGGGCTCTGATCCTGCTCACTGGTTTCCACAGTCAACTGCTTGTCCACTGTGAGAACGGGATGCTGCACCAGATGGGCCACTGGCCTGATCCAGCAGGCTCTTTTTACTTTCTTATGGTTTTCATTCTGAGAAATTAAAAACCAGACATCAATTTACTTGGAGGCTTAGTAACGGCAATTGGTCAGGCTTCAAGGCACAGGTATTTTAGACATCTGAAGGCAGCCCTGTTCAGGGAACTTTTTCATGTTTGATGTTTTATTGTGTTTTTAATATTCTGTTGGGAGCCGCCCAGAGTGGCTGGGGAGGCCCGGCCAGATAGGCGGGGTATAAGTAATAAAATATTATTATATTATTATTATTCACTGGCCTTGCAACACAGTATGGGGCAGCGGGTGTTGGAAGGGTGTAAAGATACCATCCAGGGACAGTGTGAGGAGTAAATCTAGCATGCTTGTCCCAGCTCTCCTTTGTCAGGGACTTGGAAAGTCTGAGTAGGACTAAGAACTTCAGAAATCCTCACACACTGTACACATTTAATGGAGAAAGAATGATTATTAGAGCTGTTCAGTAAGGCAATTAATGTTATTCAGCTTTAAATATATTTGCATCTCTTGTATATGTATGTGGTGGTGGGTTGTTTTCTGCTTCTTTATTTAATCCTGCCAGACTTGTAGGCGGAAAATTACGCAGGCATAACCGGTTTCCCAGTCTTCCAGGTGTCCTTTGAAGAGAATATAAAAGTTTGGAAGATGGTGTTTTTTTTCAGAGACTGCTAGGGCTCCAGCCTCAAACTCAAGAGTCCGAGAGAGAAAAGTCAGACTATGCAGGGGTCAGCAAACTTTTTCAGCAGGGGGCTGGTCCACTGTCCCTCAGACCTTGTGGGGGGCCAGACTATTTTTTTGGGGGGGGGGATGAACGAATTCCTATGCCATACAAATAACCCAGAGATGCATTTTAAATAAAAACACACATTCTACTAATGTAAAAACACCAGGCAGGCCCCACAAATAACCCAGAGGTGCATTTTAAATAAAAGGACACATTCTACTCATGTAAAAACACACTGATTCCTGGACCATCCATGGGCCGGATTTAGAAGGCGATTGGGCCAGATCTGGCCCCCAGGCCTTAGTTTGCCTACCCATGGTCTAGGGCTGTTGAATACCTTTCACTTCCTCCAAGGAAAAAAAAGCCCCTGGACTTCTTTGCCTGAAATTTGGCAGGCTGAAGCCACTCTGGAGGAGCTCCTGTGCCTATCAATTTCATTTGCTTTGACCAGCTCACTTCGAGACGTTGAGAAGGCAGGACAACAGGCAAGGTGGCACATCCAAGACACAGAATTTTGTTGGTGGAGGAAGCAAAAAACAGAGGCAAGGAACTCAGACTGGTTCCTACTGACTGGAGAACTGTAACCAGCTGTTTCCTTCTGCAACAGCTTCTAAGCAAAGCAGTGGGAGGGCTAAAAAAAATGCTTGAATGTTCAGTGTCGCTCTTAACTCAACCCAATCCTCATGGACAATTGGGAGCCTTGGCTTGGTGTAGAAATGCCCGGTGCCAACCTCACATCCATCTCCAAGCATAAGAGATCCTAAAAAGGCAGAATTATGTTTGTCACCAAGAGGAAATGCAGCTAAACAGTATCTCTCCCCCCAACACACACACCCTGCCCAGTTGGTATTCATAATCTCAATGGCTCTTAGCTGTTTGAATAATGGAGGAAAGCAGCCTGCCATTTAACCAATTGAAGCTCCCCACAGGACGCCTTCCAAAATGAGATGGTCTGTTGAGACGAAAAGTAATGTTTGTCAATAAGTCAGTTGCCTTGATTCTGATCGCCTGCCTGAACTGATGCAATGCTAGCCTGGGGAAAGATTAGAGGAGAAGATGGGTGGGATCACATCCCATTGTCGGAATCAATATCCAAGCCAGCATCCACTCCTGACAAATGGCGTCTCCAGCCTATCTGAGGCATTCTCGCAACAAAGAGTCAATTGTGGGATTCTTGGCTCAACCTAGACCTCTATTATTATTATTATTCCAGCTGCAAAGATGGTATTAGGGATGGCAGATAGAATTCATTTGGTCCCCCCCCCTTTTTTTTTTTGCAGTGGATTGACCCGACAGAGACTCTCAAGCTCGCTTGTGTGAATTAGAATTCAACTCCTACTCAGCTTACACAATCCTCTGGATTTTGTGATGCAGTTCAAGTGTGCAATTTTTTAAAAAAAATAAATAGTGCACACTTAAAGAGGTGCTTTATGTGAAAAATGTGTCCAGAGTTTGTATTTTACAGGTGGCATTGTTTTATTAGGGTCAGTGTGGTGTAGTGGTTAGAGTGTTGAACTAGGACCAGGGAGATCAAGGTTCGAATCCCCACATGGTCAGAAGATCACTGGGTGACCTTGGGCCAGTTATTTTCTCTCAGCCCAGTCTACCTCACAGGGTTGTTGTGGGGATAAAATGAGGAGTAATGAAACCACTCCTGAATGCCACCTTGAGCTTCTTGGAGGAAAAGGTGAGATATAAATGCAATACATAAAGAGTATTTACTACTGACCACTTTGAGGGTTTTTGTGTTTACAATCAAGTGTCATATAAATTTTATGCATTAAATAATCCCATGTGGAAATGGGTTGAACTGAACTGAGAGAAACTGAAACTGACAGATTTAGAATCATCAAATTGTAGAGTTAGAAGGGACCACAGGGGTCATCTAGTCCAACTGCCTGCAACGCAGGAATCTTTTGACCAATGTTGGGCTTGAACCCACAGCCCTGAGATTAAGAGCCTTGTGCTTTACCAACTGAGCTATCCAGCAGCTAGTGAGGGGACACCTTTGTGGTGAAGGGGATTCCCTAGACAATCCTATCTGAGCCTTGTCTAGAGCGGACATCCCAAGTCTTGGGGATTGTGAGAGGGGTCTGTGGATTAGGACGGCCTCTCTCATGCAGAAGGCAGTAAATCAGGCAGAAGATGAGCTTCCATTACTCCAAATTGACCCAGGGCTAGAGGTAAAGGTAAAGGGACCCCTGACCATTAGGTCCAGTCATGTCCGACTCTGGGGTTGTGGTGCTCATCTCGCTCTGTAGGCCGAGGGAGCCGGCATACAGATTCCAGGTCATGTGGCCAGCATGACTAAGCCACTTCTGGCGAACCAGAGCAGCACACGGAACCGCCGTTTACCTTCCCGCCGGAGCGGTACCTATTTATCTACTTGCACTTTGATGTGCTTTCAAACTGCTAGGTCCTAGGCTCTGTGGTTTAACCCACAGCGCCACCTGTGTCCCTTGACCCAGGTCTAGACTCACCCATAAAGACTCGGGCAATGAGGATGTAACAAAGCTAGCTCCATCTCAATGGATTCCACACAGCTGTGAGTCTGCTAAGTTAAAATAAAGGTTTTGGGTCCAATCTTAAGTAATTTCTCTTATTTATTTTCCTCAAAAAACCCCACATCACAGGACTCGGAAGCCAAATTGCCAATAACACCAGGGAAAAGAGCTGTGAAACTCTTCCCAAGAAATATCACTCCTTGCCATCGGAAAGGCAGAACAAATATTCAAATGTGTTCCAGCTGTTTCTCTCCCTCCAGCAAAGCATACACAGATGTTGGTATCCTCCATGAGGAAGACACAACTGATCAACCAACTCCAGGCATATTGAACGGGAGCTGGGTAAGCAGTTTGGAACATACATTTCGTGATGTTTTGTTTGAAGTCGAGAGGGGAAAAGTGTGATAGACTCCACTCCAATGGAAGACATGCTTTGCTGAACCAGACCAAAGGTCCATCTAGTCCAGCATTAGGTACTTACAGTGGACAACCAGATGCCTCTCCCTGGAGGTTTTTAAGCAGAGGTTGGATGGCCATCTGTCCTGCATGATTTAGGTGACATTCCTGCATGGCAGGGGGTTGCGGGGTCCCTTCCAACTTTACAATTCTAGGATTCTAAGACATGAGTGCAACAGCATGGTCCTGCTCACGAATCTGAGCAAATGGTATTATGTTTTTAAACTGGAAGGCAGTATATAGCCATCAAAATGCAGCCATTGATAGCCTTACCTTCCATGGGTTAATCTAATTCCTTCCAAATTGGTAGTCATCATTACATATTGTGGGAACAAAGTCAATCCTTCAACTGCATGCTGTGTTATGAAATGCTTTCTTTTGTTTGTCCCAAAACTTCCAACCTTCAGCTTTAGGGGATGGTCCTGTTGTGTTCTACCATTTTCTGCATACATTGCACTTATATTCCACAGTTATGGTTCTGTCCCCCATCCCTTAGTTACCTTTTCCCCAGACTAAATATCCTTGCAAAATTCAGCCCTGATCAGTAAAAGAGGGAAATCCATGCAGCCTAAAAATATTACAATCTAGGAGGAGTTGCAACTGCAACCATGTGCCAGGTCATGAATGATTAGCTGCAATCCAAGAGGTAAAATTGGATTTACCTCTTAATGCAGACATAGGCAAACTCGGCCCTCCAGATGTTTTGGAACTACAATGCCCTTCATCCCTGACCACTGGTCCTGTTAGGGATCATGGGAGATGTAGTCCCAAAACATCTGGAGGGCCGAGTTTGCCTATGCCTGTCTTAATATCATCCACACTAGGAGCGATCTTGAATGCAGAGGGTTGTAGTCAATTAGCTCTACTCAGAGTAGACCTATTCATGACTTGCTGAAAGACGATCCACATCTGAGCTCAGTACCTGCCATTGAAAGTGAAAAAGCAGTTGACTGTGATAACTCGGATGAGGAACAGGGTGCATATGGTGAGGAAGATGAAGAAATTGATAGTGATGAGAAGTATCAAATGAAAGAACGCATTGTTAAGAAGTTAAAGAAAGATGCTGATCTAACAGCTCAAAAACCAACTAAAGAGAAGGAAGCAGAGAAGAAAAGTAGCCACAGTGAGGACCTACGGAAGGAACTGTGCCAGTTGAAACGTGAACTGTTAGCAGCAAAGCAAAAGAAAAAAGAAAATGCCTCCAAACTAGAGGAGAATAAAATTGAAGATGTCAAAGCTGCTCCATACAGCATTGTTGCAGAATATCTGGAAGAAAAAAAGAAATATGAACAGCTGAAACAGCAGCAGCCAAAGAAAGGACCTTCCCGTGACGTTCAGATGCTGGCATTGCTGGACAGATTCAAATCTATTGAAATGAATTGGCATGACTACCTTATACCCACTTATTCCAATAGGCTTGCTGTAAGTAGGATTTGGCTACAATCCATATTATTTATGCATTATTGCAGAGTATTATTACTGATTATTTATTTGCTTAATTATTCCAAAGGAGTTGTGGATTGGTTCCCCTTGGGAAGGGCAAGATCCTGGACAGATACATTGAGATCAGTGATCACGAATTCCCTTGCATTGTTTGCCAGCTGTGCAGCATTCGGGCTCCACCCCCGGGAGACCCACGCTGGAAGATTGCGTTTGCACCAAGAGAACTCTTTAAATGTCATGGCCCAGCCCAAGTGTGTTTAGATTAATATCTAATCACCTTAGTGGAAGTTACAGAAAGCAAGTAACCGCTGTAAAAATTAATGAGCAATTTAGACCTGCCTGCCCAGATGACAAGAAAATCTATATGTCAATTAAAAGATCTCCTCCCCTGGGGAAGCTGCAAAGCTCTTTGTGGAGGTTACTCCTGGCATAGAGAGAAGCCAAAAGAGGGGGCAGGGGGAGAAACCAGACGGGAAGAGAGATTTTATAAATTTTGTACTGGGTCAAATCACACAGAATGAGTAAGTCCCAGGGATGATAAACATTTGGGTAGGTGCTGTAGAGATGGGGGAGGGATTTGATTCAGTTTGCATTTAAAGGCGAAGCTTCCTAAGTCATACTCTCCAAAGCATTATGTGAAATGAAACACAGTCATCCTTTGAAATTTCCACTTCTCTGAAGTTTGCAACACAGTTCTCCAGTGAAGGAATGTGTACAGATGCACATATAAGTGTGCATAGAAATGCATGTATTAGTGAAAATGACATACAAACATGCATTATATTGGGGGGAGTCGCTTTGCAAAAATGTGCATTTATCTTGGCCTTCGGCACCTGAGATGTGCGCTTTCAGGACCCACCCTATTCTTGTGAATGTGAAAGGTATTAACTGTTTTTAATCCTGAATTTTAATTTGCTGTAGCACACCCTGGGACCTGCTGGCAAAGAATGGGTAATAATAATACAGTGTTACCTCAGCTTACATACGCTTCAGGTTACATACTCTTAAGGTTACAGACTCTACTAACCCAGAAATAGTGCTTCAGGTTAAGAACTTTACTTCAGGATGAGAACAGAAATTGTGCTCCGGCAGCGCGGTAGCAGCAGGAGGCCCCATTAGCTAAAGTGGTGCTTCAGGTTAAGAACAGTTTCAGGTTAAGTACGGACCTCAGGAATGAATTAAGTACTTAACCTGAGGTACCACTGTAGTAATAATAATAATAATAATAATAATAATAATGACAAAATTGCATGCAAACATGTATATATTTTAGGAGAAATGCACACTAAATTTCTGGCGAATTTTCACAATTGCAAACTGATTTCTGACGGTAAGAGCTGTTTGGCCGCGGAATGCACTCCCCTCGGAAGGTTAGAATCATAGTAATGCAAAGTTGAAAGGGACCCCAAGGGTCATCTAGTTCAACCCCCGGCAATGCAGGAATCTTTTGCCCAACCTGGGGTTCAAACCCACGGCCCTGAGATTAAGTGTCTTATTCTTTACCGGCTGAGCCATCCCAGTGATGGGCTCTCCTTCCTTGGAGGTTTTTAGGCAGGGGTTGGATGCCCATCTGTCATGGATGCTTTAGCTGAGATTCCTGCATTGCAGTGCGTTGGACTAGATGACCCTTGGAGTCCCTTCCAACTCTATATGATTCTGTGATATGGAAATACGGAGAACTGAACATAAAATAGGAAAAACAGGAAGCTGAGAAGACCTGAAACTGACTGATTCACCCATCCCTACTCCTAAGGAAGGATGGAAAGAGCTGCAACCTTAATAATGTTTTTCATAAGGAAATGTAATAATGTATATGCTCCTTTGTAATTAAGGGTGATGCATTTTGCCTGGAAAAAATGTGTGTATTTGCATATTAGCGAAAATTCACGCTAAAATGTCTGGAAGTACGTCCCACTGAATTCAACAAGCCTTACTTCTGAGTAGATATGATTAGCATTGTGCTCTTCAGGTTGGGAGTAGCTGTCCTGGTGGCCGGCCTAGTGGTTAGAGTGTTGGACTAGGACCCAGGAGATCAGGGTTCAAATCCCCACATGGTCAGAAGATCACTGGGTGACCTTGGGCTGGTCATTGCCTCTCAGCTTAACCTACCTCACAACATTGTTGTGGAGATTTATTGAGGAGGGGAGAAACCATGTAGGCCATCTTGAGCTCCTTGGAGGGAAAAAGTAAAAAAGGCAGGATATAAATGCAGTAAACAGAAATAAAATAAATGATTTGATGGTGGGGACTTCTTTTTGCAACGCTATTTGGTACCATGGTTGCCCTAGTGGTCTGGCACAACTCACTCAACCTTCTGATTCTTTAGCTGCGTTGTTGATCCCAACCTATCAGGGATGCTGAAGTGTCTTCAACAGCATCCCTAAGCTGCGTAGCCAACATGACGCCATCATCAAGGACAAATAATGTCATTTGAGAGAGAAAGGAAGGGTGGTCCAAACAATCAGGGGGAGCATCTGGGTTGAGTGGTAGCATCCAGGCAATTCAAACAGTACTGTCGCTTGTCCATGAGATCTTTTAAAATCTATAACAAAAGATAATTTTGTTTCTGGGTAGGCTAAAAAGAAGACGGCAACAACTCAATACATCAAATGGCGGTGGGCTTTCCCCCCCCACTTTGCAAAACTGCTGCAATAATCAAGAAAAGCCACAAAATCAAAAGGCACAAAGCAGACTCGACGTGCAAGCCAGTCTTTTGTGTTCCTGGCCATTGTTTCTCTAAAAGAGACAAAAATTCCCTGCTCTAATAGCCTGCAAGCCAATTGCCCACGTAGGATGTTAAACAATAATAAATTAAGAGCTTGGGGTGGCATTGTCTTGTTTCTGCTCTATGGGGGCGCTGAGGGCTATGCCCTTGGTGGAATATTATGCAGGGAAGGCAATCGCTCTCCCTTGGCCTTCGCAGAACTGGAGCAGCCGCCAGAAATCAAAACCAGCTCAAGTTTGTGTGGTTGAAACAGCAGAGGTTTTGTTCTGAACCCTGGGAGGGGCAGGGGGGAAGTATGCTATTATCATTTGTTTCTTACATTTATACGCCACCTTTCCTCCCAAGGAGCACAATGTGACATTGCATGGTTCTCCCCTTCCTCAATGTGACTGCCCCAGGCAGTGGGCTTCCTAGCCAAATAGAGGATTTGAACCCTCGTCTCTACCATGACCTACTCCTCGTTTATTCCCCGCAACAGCCCTGTGTGGGAGAATGAAGCTGAGAGGCAATGACTGGCCCCAATTTCACCCAGTGAGCTGCTTATGGCCAAGTGGGGATTTGAACCCTGGTCCCTGCCAGGTCCTAGTCCAACTCTCTAACTACTACACCATACAAGCTTTTGAGCATGAGCAAGATCCTGAGGGGAGAGTAGGGCTGCATACAGTGGTACCTCGGGTTAAGAACTTAATTCGTTCTGGAGGTCCATTCTTAACCTGAAACTGTTCTTAACCTGAGGTACCACTTTAGCTAATGGGGCCTCCTGCTGCCACTGCACCGCTGCTGCACGATTTCTGTTCTCATCCTGAAGCAAAGTTCTTAACCCGAGGTACTATTTCTGAGTTAGCGGAGTCTGTAACATGAAGTGTCTGTAACCTGAGGTACCACTATACTTGCAGGAACTTCTGGTGCTACCTGGAGACATGTCACATGACCCTGGCAGAGAAAGTTAACCCAGATGGGCTGCATTAAAGAGGGTCACCACGTTGAGGCAGAGGCTAAACCTAATCATTGCCCCCTCGCCATCCCAGCCCTTAAAAATTAAATATGCTTTTGTCCAAGGCAGCAGCAGAGCAAGCCGATTGGGCACCAGGGGTGGTCACATGCCCTGCGCCCAGGGGCGGGGCCACCCACCTGTGGGACAGGCTGAGCTGGGGCAGGACGCTCCATGGGGCCTCTGAGGAGTCTGCCTGCCTCCTCCCACTCAGCCGCCCTACAGCTGGGGGGAAGGCAGGGGCAGACCATTTGGAGCAGCGTGGAGCCTGCAGGCGCCCAAGCCACTGTGTCATTCCCAGGAGAGACGCATGACTCAGGTGCGCTGCAGGCCCAACGGCGAGTGCCGCCCAGCATTTTGTCACTCCCCTCAGTGGTGAGACCCGGGTTAGCCCACCCCCACCGCACCCCCTTCCTCCACCCCTGGTCCATAGAGACCTCTTGCAGGCTCAGTATCTTGGCTGCATTAAAATAGAGAGAAGGCAACCTTCAGCCCTTGGCATATGGGTTGGTGAGCTGGAGGCTGGAGAGGGAGGAGGCTGAGAGTGGAGAAATCTAGGAGAGGCAGAGTCAAAATGAAGGGAGAGATGGAAGGAGGCAACCCAACTCCATCAACATGGCACAGCCTCTTTCCGGAGAGTCACTGTGCTCGCCTTCAACGCACAGGGGGGAAATTTAGTGCCCTCTCTCTTTAATTCAAGGCCTATAAAGTCAGGAAATACCACGGCGATAAACTTCCTTTTACGCAGTGTCTCCCGTTGCAAGCCGCGTCATGGAGCACTTTATGGAACTCAGCATCCTAATGTGCCATATGATGTGTCTGGTAGAGAAAATAGCCACTAAAGAAAGAGAGAGGTTGTGAAGGAAAAGAACTGCAATTACCAGGAGGGTGAAAGATGGAGGTCTTTAAAACGTCAGCAAACGCAGAGAAAATCCGTGAGGTCATAAAAGGGGTGGTGCTGGCTAGCAAGGAGCACAGGCTGCCATGGAACAGAACAGAAGAATATAAGGAGAGCCTGGCTGGATCAGGCCAATGGTCTATCTAGCCCAGCATCCTGTTCTCACAGTGACTGACCAAATGCCTGTGGGAAGGCCACAAGCAGGACCCAATCGCAAGAGCACTCTCCCCTCCCACAGCTTCCAGCGATGGGTATTCAAAGGCATACCATGGAGACAGAGTGTGGTCATTATGACTAGTAGCCAGTTTCCACCCCTCAGTTCTAATCCCGTCCACTTTGGGCAACAGAGGACAAGCCCCCTCTGTGTTCTGCATGGCAGAGCTATGAAGGCAGTGACATAGCATGGCTTGCCAGTGCCCAGGGCTGCACGGAGGGAGGGGTGGGTGGGTGTGAGGGAAGCTGACAGAGCACACTTGTGCATTCAACTGCCTAATGGCATCCACATCACCCAGGAAATTGCAGCTGCGGAGATAAGAAAAGAAGAGCCGTTCTGTTGTCTGGAGAGGTCACTTCCTGGTTCACATGGAGAAGCTGTTTTCAATGGAGCCCAGTGATGGAAACACACCGTTGTATTGAGGCAGCACTGGGTATTCATGCCCCCTAACAATTTTGTGCCCGGGACAACCACCCCACGCTACACCACTGTGTGAAGGTCACTGTTATGACTCAGCTTAAACTTCTGTTCTCCAGGCTACACATGTTCAAGTCTTCCAACTGTTCCTCAATGGTCTTGGTCCCCAGTCCTCTCCCCACCTGACGGTCCGCTCCTCCACTTCACCAAGATTCTTCTTTAAATGGAAGCCTGATTAGAGATAAGAGGAGGAGCCTGCTGGATCAGGCCAGTAGCCCATCTAGTCCAGCATTCTCACAGTGACCAACATGATGCCTGTGGGAAAACTACAAGCAGGACCCAAGCACAAGAGCCCTCTCCCCTCCTGTGGTTTCCAGCACTGTCTACTGCCTTCCACAATGGAGGTGGAGCATCCTAATGACATCATTGGAGATGAGTAGTGTTTCAGTCTCAATAAAGAAATAATCCTCTCTACAAACTGAGATCACTTCTCCCTTGCTTCTGAGTTTCTTGGGCGCTGAATGCAAAGTGAGGGAGTTGAGTCCACAGCATTATAGAGTCATCATGTACCTTGTTCAATGCAGGATGGAACTACATCATCCCTGACAGGTTTCCTTCCGCCTCTGGCTGAACATGGCACAATGGGTTAGTGCGCCTGGCTGTTAAGCGGAAGGTTGGTGGTTCAAGCCCACCCAAGGAGGGCTGTGGGAAGGATTCCTGCATTGCAGGGGCCTGGACTAGGAAAGGATCTTACCAGAAATGGAAATGAAAGGATCCTTTCGGCAGGAGGTTAAGGGGTGATATGATAGCCATGTTCAAACATATAAAAGGATGTCACATAGAGGAGGGAGAAAGGTTGTTTTCTGCTGCTCCAGAGAAGCGGACACGGAGCAATGGATCCAAACTACAAGAAAGAAGATTCCACCTAAACATTAGGAAGAACTTCCTGACAGTAAGAGCTGTTCGACAGTGGAATTTGCTGCCAAGGAGTGTGGTGGAGTCTCCTTCTTTGGAGGTCTTTAAGCAGAGGCTTGACAACCATATGTCAGGAGTGCTCTGATGGTGTTTCCTGCTTGGCAGGGGGTTGGACTCGATGGCCCTTGTGGTCTCTTCCAACTCTATGATTCTATGATTCTGTGATTCTATGATTCTATGACCCTTCTATGATTCTATGATCTCCACTTTTCTCCACTTGTGATTCCCATCTACAGTGGTACCTCGGGTTAAGAACTTAATTCATTCCAGAGGTCCGTTCTTAACCTGAAACTGTTCTTAAACCTGAAGCACCACTTTAGCTAGTGGTGCCTCCCGCTGCTGCCGCACCGATTTCTGTTCTCATCCTGAAGCAAAGTTCTTAACCCGAGGTACTATTTCTGGGTTAGCAGAGTCTGTAACCTGAAGCGTCTGTATCCTGAAGCGTCTGTAACCTGTACTGTAACACTGTACTGCTATTCTGCATTGCTGCCTCCAACCATAGAGGCAGAGCATAACCATCATGGCTAGTAGCCATCAATAGCTTTCTCCTCCTCCATGAACTTGCCCAATCCTCTTTTAAAGCTAGGTTGGTGAGCACCACTGGCTCCTGTGGGAGGGAGTTCCATAGTTTAACTCTGGGCTGCATGAAGGAGGTCTTTCCTGTCCTGAATCTTCCAACATTCTGCTTCATCAGATGTCCATGAGTTCTGGTGTGATGAGAGAGGAGAGGAAAAACTTTTCTCCCTCCATTTTATCCATGCCACGCCCAATGTTATAAACTTTTATCATTTCACCGCTTACCCGCCGTTCCTCTAAACCAAAAAGTCCCAAACGTTGCAAACTTTATTCCTAAGGGAGTTGCTCCATCTCCTTGATTGTTTTGATTGCCCTTTTCTGAACCTTTTCCAACACTACAATATCCTTTTTGAGGTGAGGCGACCAGAACGGTGCATCGGATTCAATATGCAGCCGCCTCATGGATTTGTGCGCAAGGATACACAATCCACATTAAGCAGAGGTGTGGGTGGGCTCTGAAGCACCAGACTGCTTGGCTCCGGCATGATTTATGCAAAGTGTTCTCCTAATCCTCATCCTCCTCTTGTCCCTGAGAAATCTCACCCACCAGTCTGCTCTTCTCCCATGATAAAAAGCCTTTGGAATGGCACAATGCAATAGCACCATCGTCAGCTAGCAAAGCCAAATAACTGCCTTCTCGGGGAGAAAGCTGTAGCAGTTCTTGCTTCTGTTAAAGAGGCTTTGTTTTTATTTTTGGAAAACCATCGCACAACCCAGAGAGAAGTTTTGCTGAGCTTGTTGAAGAGCTTTTAAGTTCTCTCAGACTCCCAGATGACACCCATAAATTGGTCTCAGCATTCACTGCTATGAATTCTGGTGTCCCAGAATTGGACCCTGATCCAGAAAAAGACAATCAGTTAATGATGTGTGCGCATATATATATATATATATATAGTCTCCTGTTTTCTTTTCTCCATCAGTTCATGAGAAAATAAACTACATTTGGAAATGATAGAAAGGGAGGATGGGAAGTCAATGGATACAGTAATTTTCAGTCTAGGTTAAAATTTGTAAAGCTTTTTTGTAAAAAAAAAAAAAAAAAAAATTGGAGGGGAGGGGGGGAAAGGTAAACTCAATCCTATAAAAAAAGGTAAAGGGAACCCTGACCATTAGGTCCAGTCGTGACCGACTCTGGGGTTGCAGCGCTCATCTTGCTTTACTGGCCGAGGGAGCTGGCATTTGTCTGCAGACAGCTTCCGGGTCATGTGGCCAGCATGACTAAGCCGCTTCTGGCGAACCAGAGCAGCGCATGGAAATGCCTTTTACCTTCCCGCCGGAGCGGTCCCTATTTATCTACTTGCACATGACGTGCTTTCGAACTGCTAGGTTGGCAGGAGTAGGGACCGAGCAATGGGAGCTCACCCCGTCACGGGGATTCGAACCGCCGACCTTCTGATTGGCAAGTCCTAGGCTCTGTGGTTTAACCCAAATGGAGGAAAACAGAAACCTCTTTCACAAGGCAGTAAATCTTATTTTATTTATCATTCATTCATTAAATTTCTACACCACTTTTCCTTCAAGGAGTCTGAGGTGGTGTACATGGTTCTCTCCCTCTCTGTATTCTCACCGCCACAACAACAACAACCCTGCGAGATAGGCTAAACCGAGAATTGGATTGAACCCCATATCTCTATATCCTAGTTTGATCCTCCATGCAGAGTTATCATGCTGGTTTCCAAACAGTTCAGGCGAGTCATAACTTAGAGCTGCATGCAAATAGTGTCTCCAAACTTTCTGTTCTATTTGTAGGCAGACAAGCTGGGGGGAAAAGGGCGGCTCACGTCTCTCCCCACATATGGTTATCGGCCTTCTAAAAACTCACTTGTCAAATTCAGCTCCCAGTGCAGGTGGGGTAATAGTGCCACTCAAAATAGTTGTGGTGAGAAAAACAGGTTCCATCCCAATTTAGCTGGTGATGTTGGGTGAGAGTCACATATCTCCGTTCTACCTGCACGTGCCTTGAAACAGCTAATAATTGCCCTGGACTGTTAAAGGGATGCATTGCTGAAATCCCAGGTCTTCACAGTTGGAAAAGAGACTCTTCCTGGGCAGAAAGAGTTGTACAAAAATCAAAATTGGCTTGTGGTCCTATTTCTAAAATTCCTGCTGCTTAGTCAACAATATCGAATGGCAAAATTCATTTACATGCCCCATTTTGTGTGTGTGTGTCCCTTGCCCTGAGTATTTCCTATAGGTAGAAGGGCAAAAGCTTCACCAGTGGAACACAGCACACACACCCTCTGCCGTCCTGAGAAAACTCCTTAATCCCAATCTGATTTGACTTTACTCTCTGGGAGATTTACAAAAAGAGAACACACACACCAATAAATAGATTTTAGAAAGGGGCAAGATTAGATGCAGATGCACAAAGCATTTTAAAATTTGTTTTTAAAATTTGTTTTTATAAAGGTTTTTCGTGTTCCAAAAGAAGCCCCCAAAATCAAGACTCCTCATGCTCCACTCCCCCTTTCCTCCCGCCCAGGATGGCCCTGCCCTCTACCTGCCCGTCACAACCATTGCATCATACACAGCTGGGCTGTGGCTGCAGCAGCCTCTCCTCTTCCAGCAGTCACTATGAGCTGTCCAATAGAGTAGGCTGGCAGAAGCGACCATGAACAGCCAACAGGATGCTCCCTCAGAACTGCAGTATCCAGCCCTCAGGGAAAGCGCCAGCTCATCCTCCTCCCCGAGCTCAGCAGAAACAGGACAGAAGGGGGAAATAGGGACATTCTGGGATGAAATCCAAAGCCAGGATGGCTTTCATAATTCTGTGACTGCCCCTGGAAAATTAGGACACTTGAAAGCTATGTGACTCTTGCTTGCCTTATTGGAGAGCTCATTAGCACTATTCAAAAAAGGGCATTAGTGAAGTGGAAAAGGTTCGGGAAAGGGCAAGCAGAATGGTCCAAGGGATGGTGAGACTCCCCTATGAGGAAAAATGAGGAAAAGTTGAAACATTAGGGACTTTTTAGTTAAGACAAAAGGCAAGTACAGTAGTACTTCTGGTTAAGAACTTAATTCATTCTGGAGGTCCGTTCTTAACCTGAAACTGTTCTTAACCTGAGGTACCACTTTAGCTAATGCGGCCTCCCACTGCTGCCGCGCCGCGGCGGCGAGATTTCTGTTCTCACCCTGAAGCAAAGTTCTTAACCCGAGGAACTACTTCTGGGTTAGCGGAGTCTGTAACCTGAAGCATTTGTAACCTGAAGCATTTGTAACCCAAGGTACCACTGTACAGCCATACCTTGGAAGTCAAACAGAATCCATTCCAGAAGTACATTCAACTTCCAAAATGTTCGGAAACCAAAGTGTGGCTTCTGATTGGCTGCAGGAAGCTCCTGCAGCCAATCAGAAGCTGTATCGGAGGTTCGGGTTCCAAAGAACATTGGCAAACTGGAACACTCACTTCTGGGTTTGTGGCATTCGGGAGCCAAAACATCCGAGTACCAAGGCGTTCTGGATCCAAGGTATGACCAGAATAGGTGACAGGATGGAAGCTTATAGAATTCTCCAAGGCATGGAGAGGGTGGAGAGAGATGGTTTCCCCTCTCTCTTTAACATTTGAGCTTGTGGACTTCCAATGAAGCTGGATGTTGGGACAGATAAAAGAAAGGACTTCTTCAGGTAGTGCGAAATTAAACTACAGAACCCACACAGGAGGCAGTGATGGCCACCAACTTGGACGGCTTTAAAAGAGGTTTGCACAAATTCATGGAAGGGAAGGCTACCAAAGGCTGCTAGCCAGGATGGCTATGCTCTGCCTCCACAGTTGGAGACATAATGCCAGTTGCTGGAACCTACAGGAGGGGAGAGTGATCATCTTCTGCTCCCTGGTTGGCCACTGTGCGAACAGGAGGCTGGACCACATGGGCCACTGCTCTTAGGATCTTAAGTCCCATGCCTCTTAGGTCTACAATGCTTCTCCAGGGTTTCAGCCTGGAAGCCTCACCCAGACTTACCTGGAGATATCAGGGATTGAACCAGAGACCTTCTGCATGCAAGGCAGATATTCTACCACTGAGCTATGGCCCTCCCCATTGCTCCCTAATCTTCTTGGCTTCAAATGGACCTGCATTTCTGGGAGGAACCTCCCCCCTCCCGGAAAATTGAACTAAATAGCTGAAAATACGTTGACTGACCCACGCGAAGCACAGCAAAACCAGGCCTCATCTCAGAAACTGAGAATTCTTGAGGTTTACAACCTGGAGATGATTTAAATGTAAAATGAAGTCAATGGCCCAGAGGCCGTTGCAGGGAGAGCTCGTAAGCATGGCACATGGCTTATTAATGGCTATAATCAATGCACCAACAAAAGCCATGCGCAGGTAGTTTGTGGTCCAGGGACACGCAGTGTTGGAAACAGACAGTATCTGTGAGCAGGGACAGGGCCCATTTTTAAGATCTATTAAGAAAAGTCTGTCTGAGAGCAGCAAAACGAAACCAAGCTAGATCCCTTCTCCAGAGGCCTCTACAAAAGCCTAGCTTAACCAAGCTGCTTTATTAAGTTTCAGCGGCTAATAGGTTGGAAGCTCCAGACCGCATGTCGCTTTCGAAAGCTGAGGCTGGAGGACAAGAGTTTTGCAGGGAGCAAATGAGACCTTTATTACCCTCCAACGTTCTATAGATGAAAATAACAGCATGCACATAACACCCCTATTAGCATGCCGCGGATCTCTCTCTCTATCTCTCTCTCCCCCCGCTTCCCACCGTGTCGTCCCTCTTCTTCCCATTTCCACCTTGGGGAGGCTGCGCTCTCTGCATGCGGCATGTTCATTTATTATGTAGTAGCCTTTCCCCTGCTGATTTAAAAGCTAAGAGAGGATCTGTCCCTTTTGTTTAAGGATATGCAAGGAAAACATTAAATGGTTCTGCAAAAGATCATCAGCAGTTCACAATGCGCTTCAGAAGCCATGTGCAACATGGCGGGCTGCGAAAACGCCTCGTGTTTGTTTGTTTCATTGCATTTCTATTCCTCCTTTTTTCCTCCGAGGAGTTCAAGGTGGTGCACAGGGTTCTCCTCCTTCCCTTCCTTTTATCCTCACAACAACCCTGTGAGGTAGGCTAGGCTGAGAGGCAGTGACAGGGCCAGTGTGCTTCATAGATGGCCAAACAGGGATTTCAACCCAGTCTCTCCCAGGTTCCTAGTCCGGTGTTCCAGCCGCTACACTGCACTGCTTCTGGTTCCAGCTAATTAACATCTATGCAGCCAATGGGCTAAAAGGCAGGACAATGGGGTTCCCCTCCCCCCTGGGACATGGAGCAGGAAATAGGGGGCTGTCCCTGGTCAATGGAGACATTTGGAGAAGAATCCTAGAACTGTGGAGTTGGAAAGGCTCTAGCGCTGAACATGGGTTCTGGTCAAATTCCAAAAGCCCTCTGCAAAGGGATCAGTCAATTCATACCTCAGGTCCCTTTCCATGCAGACTGCTGGGAGGCAAAGAAAGAGTGAAAGTGCACAATGGAGGGAGTGGCAGAGAGTGAGGAGTGGCCCCATTCACCACAGGCGTAGGTCCTTCCCTCCACTCGTATGCACCCTCCTTGCCACAGATTAACCCCAAGTGTGTGTGGCCGTCAACTCTGCCCTCTGCTATGTGACCAGAACCTTTAAGACACCCTTAAACCAGCTGGGGTCCATGCTTTTGCAAGAAAAGGTTCAATTCCAAACCTCTCCACTTAAAAGGATCTCAGGTAATTGGGGGAGCAAAAGCCAGAGCCCAAGACCCACAGAAGCTATTGTCAATCAGTCACCCACAAACCCCCCAAGTTCCATGTAGCTAGGGCACTGTAAGAGAATTGCTGGTTTACCATGATAGGTTTGTTGTTGTTGTTGTTGTTGTTGTGTTTTAGTAAAGCTCATGCGCACTCACCCACTGGAGGGGGAGCCCTGCTGTATCTCTGCATGGTTGCTGCCATGAATATTGACCTCCTGCCAATCAGATGCTGCTGGGAGGTGGGTCTCTGGCATGTTTCGGCCTTGGATCACTCCTGGGGCAAGCACAGAGGAGAACAAAATGCTCTGCCCCTGAGGAGGTTCCCCCAGGATGGTGACTCAGGCAGAAACGCAACAGGAAGGGCCAATGGTCTGTGACTCAGTATAAGGCTTCCTCCTGTGTTCCTCGCTCTGTGGCTCAGAGCTAGATCTGGCTGTGAGCGCGTACAAGCCTCTTAGAGTTGTGAACACTCAGGTGGGACTCCTTGAAGCTGCTCCTTTGCACATTCCTCCTGCGTCAGCTGCTGCCCACTCCAGAGGGTGCTTGGGAGGATGTTCGCAGGACCCTGCAGGGCCTCTGAAGATCTCTCTGAACCCGACTGCTGCCTCTCCCTGAGATGAGAGCTGGAGATTGGAGGACGATTTAATTCTTTCATTACTTGGAATCCAATTTTCCTCCTGACGGGAATGAAATGGAGAGAGGATAATAAGCAGCGTGTTGGGTTGCAGCAGAGAGCTGTGCTTAGTGTCATTAACGGGGACAGCTTCATTAACAAGCTGGATTGCAATAAAAGGGGAAACGGCAGGGCGGGGGGTGGATTGCTCTTTGCAAACTATTGCCTGGAAGTGCATCCGAGCAAAGGGTGGCTCAACTCTTGACTGAATCCTTCTCTGAGTGAGCGAGGAGGACAGGAGGGTCAAGACAACCTTGCCCAAAGTGCTGGTGATGGCCTGGATGCACCCAGGGCTTATTTGGTGGCTGTGATTCCTGCACTGCAGGGGGTTGGGCTAGATGGCCCTTTGGATCCCTTCCAATTCTAACACTCTATGATTCATAGGAGGCTTTTAAACAGAGGTTGTGTAGCCATCTGTCAGGGATTCTTCAGCTGTGGTTCCTGCATCACAAAGGGTTAGACTAGGTTATCCTTTGGTTCCTTCCAGCTCTATGATACCTTTTTCTTTGCTTCCCAAGTCAACTGTTTTGTGCAGGCACTCATTGCACTTTTATTATTATTATTTCGTTGTTTTTCATTAAACTTCTTAGTCACTCTTTTTTACCAGTAAAAGGAACTTACAGCAGTAAACACATACATTAAAACCAGCATAAAACAAAGCGTAGAAAAATATAAAGGACAATTCTGTTTTCTAAAAGGCAAGATTAAAACATCCCACTCATTCAAGGAGACAGGGATGGGGGGGGGGAGTTTTTGCCTGGCACATAATTATGGTGCCAAGCGAGCCTCCATAGGGAGAGCATTCCACAAACAGGGAGCCACCACTGGAAAGGCCTGTTCTTGTGCTGCCACCCTCTGGATCTCCCGTGGAGGGGGCACATGAAGATGGGCCTCAGGTGACAACTGCAGGGTCTGCGTCAGTTCATATAGGGAGAGGTGGTCTTTGAGATATTGAGGTTCTGTGCCACATAAGACTGTAGAGGTCAAAATCAGCACATAGATTTGGACCCAGAAACTAATTGGTAGCCAATGCACTCAGGGCAGGATTGGTGTTCGGAGACCGTCTCACCCTGGCGAACAACCTGGCCACCAAATTCTGCACCAGTGGCAGTTTCCCAAACCGTATTCAAAGACAGCCCCACATATAGCACATAATTTGAGTACTGACACTTCTTTTTTCTACCAAAAGAAAAGCACACTCATTGTTGAAGTTTATCCCGGGCCCATCAAAAAACCAGTTTAAATAGAAGCCTTTGTTCAGCCTCTAGCTTGGATGTCTCTCTGTTAATTCTAAAGCTGCCGAGTTAGGATAGAGGACACCTACTGTGTTGCAATTATGGTCCCACAAGAAACACAGGAGGTTGTCCTATACTGAAGCAGAGCATTGGCTGACCGGCAGAAACTCCCCTGGACTTCAAGCAGGGAATGTTTCCAGCCCTAGCTTAAGATGCCAGCAATTGAAACTGTGACCTTCTGTGGGCAAAGCTAATGCTCTGCCACTGAGTCCTTCCCAATGTCTAACAGTGGCTGAATGACTGGCATATCTATACACTCCCCACTCTACCAAACAATGTTGCTAGGATATGTAAAGGTAAAGTTAAAGTACCCCTGAATGGTTAAGTCCAGTCAAGGGCGACTATGGGGTTGTGGAGCTCATCTCGCTTTCAGGTCAAGGGAGCTGACGTTTGTCCACAGACAGCTTTCTGGGTCATGTGGCCAGCATGACTAAACTGCTTCTGATGCAATGGAGGACCGTGACCACACAGAAACATCATTTACCTTCCCGCCACAGTGGTACCTGTTTATCTACTTGCACTAGGGTGCTTTCGAACCGCTAGGTTGGCAGAAGCTGGGACAGAGCAATGGGAGCTCACCCCGTCATGCAGATTCAAATCACCGGCCTTCCGATCGGCAAGCCCAGGAGACCTGGTGGTTTAGACCACAGCGCCTCCCGCGTCCCACACTAGGATAAACAAACACCAAAGGCCATATTGCTGCCAGACCCAATGTGGGTGTGTCATGGATGGTATTGCACCAGCCCCCCCCCCCCCAAAAAAGCAGAAGTAGTGTCCCACACATACTTCTAATCCATTGGAAAAGGGTTAAATCTGTTGAGAGCAGAGGCAGATTTAGGGCAGCGTGACTGGTTCTGCTGAACTGGGAACCAAGCCTAGGGGGTGTCACAGGGATGTCAAAACTATGGTACTGACAGAAGACAAGGGGGGGTGCTGAATTTTGGGCTTGCACAGGGCACTTGCTGATGTTTGAAAGACCAAAGTCCATCCCTGTCGGGAGTAATGCTAGCAATAAGTTATGTGAACTGCAGGGTTAGGGTGAGTATATACAGAAAAACAACCTATTATTTCCCTCATTGAATTCTTCCCTCACTGAATCCATCTACTACATGCAGATTGCTGTTTCTCAGTGTCTACTTCCTTCCTGATGCTTCTTCACACAAGCCTTGCTTTTGTTAACCCCACAACTCCATGATATGGCTATGTGGAAGGTTGGACTCAGAGTGGCTCTGTTTGCCAAGAGTACATTTATTCTTACCATCCACAGTCTTACACTGCTGCAATTTGCGTATATACTAAATTCCAACGAAATCACACCTCACTTGGTTTGGCCTTGTGTCCTAATGCACAAGTAAAGGACAGTCCTTTACATGAACAGCTGTCTGGTCCAAGTCCACATTAAAGATAAAAAAGAACTGTAAGAAGCGACTCACAGTGGGTAGGTGGAGGTGGCATGAAGTTCACTGGCTTCCCCCATATGGTGATACGAATTGCATTTCTAGTTAGATTACAGTCATCATTCCTGAATGTGCATTGATTATTATAAGTTAGCATATGCAAATTTTATGCATATCTGGGCACTTTTCTTCCCCACTCCCTTTCTGACTATACAAAAGGGGGAACACTTAGTTATGTTGCTGGTTCTTAGCCAGAACTATCAGGAAGAACCCTCCCTGGCTCAGACTTCAAAGCCTGCCAGAAGCCTTCAGAAAGCTTTTCCTCTCCCAAATCTCCTAGGTCCAGGGCTTGTAAAAGAGCTACATACGAATCAGCTTGGCTGTCCTTTCCTGACTCCATGCAGGAGCCTGCAGCACCCAAAACCAGCACTTGAAGTCAGAGTAGCCTTTCAGGACCTTGGATAGCACCAAGGATAAATCTCCTCCCTCCCTTGCTCCCACAAGCTCAAAGGATCCCTTCGCTTCTATCGTACATACTGAATTTTTGAATAAAATCTTTAAACATAACAGCCACAGTGAGACTGGGAGTTCTGGCTCTGACAGAGGGAGCCAGGGCATACATTTATACTTCTGTTTTTAATAAGGAAAAGCTGGTGGATAACTGAGTTCCACCTGCACAGATTTCCCCTGGAGGCCAGCTCATCTTAGAATTTGGAGGCATCCTTTTGTCCAGCTGACAAAGGATTTCAGCACATATCTTTCCCCTTCTTGCTTTTTACACACACACACACACACACTTCTTTAAAACATTGCTTTTAAGCATAATCGTAAGCAAGTGGGGCTCTGCCTTTAAGCTGAAAGGGAGTTAATTGTTTAATTAAAGCTAATGTAGTGAAAACAAACTAATAAGCAGCAACTGGGTGTATATAAAATGCAGCCCATAAGGGGGGGGTTGTACACTCAGTCTGTCATTGGCCAGCACCACTTGCTCACAGTGCCAGGGCTGGCAGCAATGGAAATGCAGGCGGAGGGGAGGAAGGTCAGAGAAACCCTAATTTGGGGATGCAGGGAGGCTCCAGAGAAAGTGCAGCAGACCTGAAGGGGTGAGCATTTGAGATGGAGACCATATGAGTGAGACTGTTAAGTGTGTGAGCTGCTGACCCCTTATTTACCTGTGGTCATCCCAATTTTCTGATCCTTGCTTAATCTGTTATTTAATGGAAAGCTCAGTCTGTAGAGCATGAGACTGTTAATCTCAGGGTTGTGGGTACAAGTCCCCTGTTGGGCAAAAGATGCCCTGCATTGCAGGGAACTGGACTAGATGGCCCTCATGGTCCCTTCCGACTCTTCAGTTCTATGATTCTATGAGAACTGGAAGTGTGGGAAGAATCGTAAAGGCAAGTAACTCTTTCCCCTCAGAGTTACAGGTTAGAGCAGGCTTCCCCAAGCCAGCGCCCTCTGGATGTTTTGGAATACAAGTCCCATCAGCTTCCACCAATGTGGGAGGATGTCAGGTTGGGGAAGGCCAAGGTTACATCATCTCCTTAGAGTCCTCCTACTTGCTTGAGTGACTCTAAAGGTAAAGGACCCCTGACAAGTCCAGTTACTAGCAACTCTGGGGTTGCGGCACTCATCTCACTTTACTGGCCGAGGGAGCCGGTGTTTGTCCGCAGACAGTTTTTCCGGGTCATGTGGCCAGCATGACTAAGCCACTTCTGGCAAAACCAGAGCAGTGCACAGAAATGCTGTTTACCTGCCCGCCGGAGTGGTACCTATTTATCTACTTGCACTTCTGATGTGCTTTTGAACTGGTAGGTTGGCAGGAGCTGGAACCGAACAACGGGAGCTCACCCCGTCATGGGGATTTGAACCACCAACCTTCTGATCGACAAGCCCAAGGCTCAGTGGTTTACACCACAGCACCATCCGCGTCCCTTTGAGTGACTCTACCCACCTCGAATGACTGTCTTCTCTCCTGAAGCAGGAAGGGCTGCATCACGGAGGATAAGGCTTTATTACTGCTTGCTCAGAGTAGCTTCAGAGTTGCAGCTATAGGAGGGAAATACCCGCCTTCCAAAAAGTATCTGTCATCTGCATCTTTTAACCTTCACAGCTGTGTGAGCAGTTGAGAAGAAGTCTATAAAGGCCTGCTGTTCTCTCCTCCCCCCCCCCTTACAGCAAAGAGCTTCAGCAGCAGCTGGCCCCGGCATCACCAGGGTGGGAACTACAGGATCCTTTGCCTTCTGCGCATTCTGAAAAAAATCTCCATGTTTCATCTTTCAAGGCTGAAGTGACTTCTCAATTTGCGTCTGCCTTTGCCTCGGGCTGATGAGGCAAGGAAGATACGGATGAGTCTTGCCTTGACTCATTCAAGGCTTGCTGTCAGTCCTGAACAGCTGGTTCTAAGCATCCCACAAGACAATGCAATGCAGAGGAATGATTAATGTAGGGAGGTGCCAAAGGTCAGTAGCAGAGCAGGTGCTTTGCATGCAGAAGGTCCCAGGTTAAACACCCAACAGCGTCTCCAGGTAGGGCTCACGGAGACCTGTACCTTGAAACCCTGGAGAGCTGCTATCAGTCAGTGCAGACCATACAGAGCTAGGTGGACTGATGGTCTGTTCTGGTCTGTTTCTATGTTCTCCCTAAAGACTGTCTCTCTTTTCCTCCAAATCCATCAAAACCTGCCTTGTCTTGAGGGCCTGGGGGCAGGAACAGTGTGGAAGACAGAATAATTTTAAAGCACAGAAGACGTTGGAGAAGTTCATCTTTGTACTTTTGTCCTTCCTGGCTGTGGTTTACATTTCTGTCATCCTCCAAAGTCTATTAGTTTCTGATTAATTATTCTTTTCCTTAGGTAAAGGTAAAGGTACCCCTGCCCATACGGGCCAGTCTTGCCAGACTCTAGGGTTGTGCGCTCATCTCACTCTATAGGCCGGGAGCCAGCGCTGTCCACAGACACTTCCGGGTCACATGGCCAGCATGACAAGCTGCATCTGGCGAGCCAGCACAGCACACGGAACGCCGTTTACCTTCCCGCTGGTAAGCGGTCCCTATTTATCTACTTGCACCCGGGGGTGCTTTCGAACTGCTAGGCTGGTAGGCGCTGGGACCGAGCGATGAGAGCGCACCCTGCCGGGGGGATTCGAACCGCTGACCATACAATCGACAAGCCCTAGGCGCTGAGGTTTTACCCACAGCGCCACCCGCGTCCCTATTCTTTTCCTTACCTGTCTACAAACATCTATTCTCAAAGATACACAATTAACAGATCCTGCATTGGACTAGATGGGCTTCAGGGACGCTTCCAGGTCTTCAATTCTATGATTCTTTGTTTTCTTTTTGTTATGTGTGCACAAATCAATAAAATATTACGTAGTTAAAAATTGAGGGAATGGAAATTTCCTGCTGGGACTGTTTTTTCTTTGGTTTTCATATCAGAGTAATTTGGAGCTTCAAAATGACAAAGGACCAGGAAACAAAGCCTTGTGAGAAGTTGGGTATGTTTAGCCTGGGAGGAGGAGACTGAGAAGGAATATGATAGCCATCTTCAAATACATGGAAGGCTGTCACATGGTGCAAGCTTGTTTTCGGCTGCTCCAGAGGGGAGGACCCAAACCAATGGATTCAAATGACAAGGAAGGAGATTCATGCTAAACATTAGGAAGAACGTTCTGATTTTAAGAGCTGTTTGACAGTGGAATGTCTGAAAGCAGAGACTGGTTGATCATCTGTCAAGGATTCTTTAGCTGTGATTCCTACGTTGCAGAGGGTTGGACCTTTGTGGTCCCTTCCAACTCTACAACTCTATGATCCTATGATGTTATGACAGAAAGGAAAATTGGAAGCATTGAGACGAGCAGTTTAGGTTCCCCCCACCTATAGCCTCACTTGAGCAGTTAGACATCAATAATGTAAATCTTTTAAGAATCATGCCCCCCTCCCCGCGGTCTGTCTTTCACCCTCACCCATCTACCCTTCCAAATTCTCTCCATTTCTAAGGAATGGAATTAAATATAAAGGGCCATTTAATAATTCAGTAATCTCATTATACCTCCATCCTTTGCAGCATCAGCCTAGCATCTTGTGCAGAAGCAGGAGAGAGCGGGAGCAGAGAGTAAGTCCACTGGAATTTCAACACAGCTCTCCCCCCAAAAAACATTTTATTTGGTGAGCTCCCAGTTATGTTCATTAACTGCATGATTCACTTGGCAGTATATGTGATCGGGGGAACATTTTCAAGGTGGGCTCAATGGGTTCCTTATATTGGAAAGGGTGCAAACTGCACCTTAGAATAGCGATTGCAACAGATCAGGTTGCCAAGGCCAGGGTCCTGGCCTGCAAATGAAGTCTTAGCACTAGGACCTGTTTGAGCAGCAAAAAAGGAGAAGTGGTTGCTCTGGAAACAAATCACAACATTGCTATATAGGTAATACATGATATAGATTGGTTGGCTTTTAATTGTTTACAGTGGTGCCTCGCAAGACGAAATTAATTCGTTCCGCGAGTTTTTTCGTCTAGCAAATTTTTCGTCTTGTGAAGCACGAAATCCCATAGGAATGCATTGAAATCCAGTTAATGCGTTCCTATGGTCAAAAAAAGTCCAAACAAAGCCAAATTTGGTACAACAGGAGTTTATTAAGTGCTCTTTAAAGTCACACATACTGTAAAGAGCATTTCAAAAATTGAAGGAACAATAAATTAAGTTTCTAAACATGACAGGAAAAACATTTAAAAATCAACAAAGTGTACATTACATTTTCTAAGACTCTGGGGGACCACTTGAAGAAGGTTCCTCTTCCACTCTTTGCTTCTTGCTTAAGAACCTGTCCATGGTCTGCTGCTTCATCCGCCTTTTCAGCACCTCCCTGAAAGACGACATGACCCTTGTATCAAAAGTGTTCGCAAGGTCACGTGTCACGTGCTTGTTAGGGTGGTTCCGCTCTGCAAAAGCCTGCACATCCTTCCACTTCAGGCAAATGTCCCTCAGTTCTTTGGAGGACAGCCGTTCCTCAGTTGCTTCCTCCTCTTCCAGCGAGGCCTGCTCCTGCGCAGCCTCTGCCTGCAGTTCAACCAGCTCCTGGGTGGTCAGCTCGTGGTCGTGCTCCTCCACCAGCTCGCTGACGTCCTCCTCTGTGACCTCCAGGCCCATGGTCCTCCCCAAGGCAACAATGTCCTGCACCACTGTTGACTCTGGTGCATCAGAGTCACTTGGTGCCACACAGTCCGGCCACAGGCTGCGCCAAGCGCAATTCAAATTTCTCTGGCTGATCCCTTTCCAGGCCGTGGTGATCATCTTCAAGCAGGTGACGATGTCGAAGTGGTCCTTCCAGAATTCCCGCAGGGTGATGGTGGTGCAATCAGTCACCTCGAAGCATCGCCTGAAAAGCTCCTTGGTGTAGAGTTTTTGAAATTGGCGATGACCTGCTGATCCATCGGCTGGAGCAGTGGCGTGGTGTTAGGCGGCAGGAACATGATGTTGATGAAGCTGAACTCCTCCAACAAGTCCTCCTCAAGGCCTTTAGGATGAGCAGGAGCATTGTCCATCAGAAGCAAAGCCTTCAGCGGCAGGTCATTGTCCAGCAGGTACTGTTTGACAGCAGGGCCAAAAGCAAGATTGACCCAGTCCACAAACAGCACACGTGTGACCCAAGCCTTACTGTTGGATCGCCACATGACACTCAGCTGCTCCTTGTCGACCTTGTGTTTCTTGAAGGCCCGTGGGTTCTCCGAGTGGTACACCAGCAGGGGCTTGATCTTCAGGTCGCCGCTTGCGTTGGCACAGAAGAGCAGGGTCAGACGGTCCTTCATGGGCTTGTGGCCAGGCAACTTGGCCTCCTCCTGAGTGATGAAAGTCCTTTTGGGCATCCTCTTCCGAAACAGCCCGGTCTCGTCGCAGTTGAAGACCTGCTGTGGAACGTAGCCCTCCGTCTTCACAACCTCCAGGAACTCCAAGGCAAAGTCTTCAGCCGCAGGAACATCAGAACTGGCAGCCTCTCCATGCCTGACCACGCTGTGGATTCCAGATCTCGTCTTGAACCGGTCAAACCAGCCTCTGCTTGCCTTGAAGACTTCTGGCTCGCCTGAGGTTCCTGGCTGTTCCCGGATGAGGTCTGCGTGCAAGGCCTTGGCCTTCTCACAAATCACGGCCTCAGTCACTGTGTCCCCTGCACGCTGCTTCTCTTCTAACCAGATGAGGAGCAACTTCTCAACCTCCTCCAGAACAGCTGGGCGGTTCTTCACGATCCTGGTGACTCCCTTGGCTGCATCAGTCGCAAGGATCTTCTCCCTCAT